AGATCCACGCATTCAGAATTTATGTACTCGCATTAGATAGTCTGGTGAAAGGATATTGCGTTGCACTGAATAGAGACATCCAACAAATTTTAGAAACTAATTAATCTAGTAGTTTGTGCTATTTATCCTTCCTTAAAAAGTGAAGAGAACCATTTGACAGAACAGATATGTTTCTTTTATATTCTGCGAATGTTTGCTTCAAGAAGAGCTAGAGCTCTGCACTAAATGAGTAGAGATGGCCAAGCTCCAAAAATGTCAAAGGTTTTAATGGTGCAAATTATATTGTTAACTCACACCTCCACTGCATTCGCTAACATGACATGAATAGATCTGAAATATTGCCTACGATTATGTGTTAAAGGGGAGTACATAAATTGGTGCATAATTAAATGAACAAGGATTCTGAACCAATAATTTTGATCAGCTTGGGACACTCTGTCAGAAGATAAGATTTAATTGCATGAAAATTGCACATTCTGCGCTAGCAACAAGAAATGATTGGAGATTCATGGATTTGTTTAACTGTTTTGTTCAACTGAAGGTTACTATAATTTCTAAAAGTCTGTGTATAGGTTTCTGCATGAGACAACAGAAATCCATAATTTAAACATTGTGGGTTCTAAAAACTATATACAATTCTATATTGTACTTGTTTTTAATATTTATAGGGTTCAACTCCAAAACTAAGAGACAAAATATTGGATTCTACGGAACTCGTACAAAAGAGGATGACCCAGGATTTGAAGGTGGTGGGGATACATGAGCGAACTGCTCAACCAGTGCCTCCGTCGTGCTTTTGATCTTAAGGTTTCCAAGCAAAATATATGACCGATTCCAACATATATACACTTATATATTCAGAACTTTTGTTGAAGTTAACAGGATCCAGTGACCCCTCTTCTCCAAGCATAGATCTGCCTCTGCTCGTAAATAACTGGATATAAACATCATGTACATATCCTGTCATTTACTCTTCTTCGCAAGGCTTCTTGGATTAGAAGACTATAAGGCCTTGCATTGTTCATCTAATATACGGGCCTTGCATTGTTCATCTAACTACTAAATTTAGCATTAATTTGACTATGCAAAAATAATACTCCCTCTGTTTCAATTTAGTTGACACACTTTCCTTATTAGTGCATTCCAAAAAGAATGACACATTTCTACAATTAGAAATAATTCAATCTTAAGCTCTTTATTTTACATATTTTACCTTTAATGAGAAGCTTTTATAACCACACAAATATCATAGCCCCACAAAGTTTTTACCCCTTAAGCTTTTAAGACCACAAGTTTAAAAAAAAAAATCTTAAACTCCGAGCCAAACTACCATCTAAATTGAAATTGAAATGGAGGGAGTATGTGTTTTGTTGGTCAACTAATGGATAGTTCGTGCAGAGGACAAGTAAGCATTTGTGTGTGAACGTATTTTTACATTTAAAAAAATATGTATTCTTTGGTCAACTCAATCATCAAGTAGTTGGAAGTGTTGCAGCTTGCCATATGGCGCATTATCAGTAGCACGTCTTTCCTTGATCCAAACGTTTAAGACATGATTATTTAATCAATCCTGGTTTTTATGTATACGGGAAAGGCGAATAATAAGGAAGATCATAAAGCAGTAAAACCTTTCTAAAATTCAAACCTTAAACAGCTATTAAGGTTAAAAATGGATTGACTCTGCGAAATGGCTCCAGTCCTCTGCAGTGGAAGCAATTAGTCCCTACGCGGAGATTAAAAATAGATTGAGTCAGCGTTGCAGCCACACAGGACTACTGATTATTGACCTGTTAACTTGGTGGAAGGTCCAATAAAACTGCAAATTGTGAACCTAGTTGCATTTTCTAGACTTTGACTTGTGAAACAAATCAGTTCTATTTGAATTGCCTCGTCGGCGCTTGACTCAACCCAAGTGATAATCATGAGACAAAAAGGGGATATAGATGTTAAAACATACGTTTAGTATAAGACTTGCCAATTCTCGTTAATAAAATAGATTGGAGATATTACACTAAGAAAAGAAATTTGAAGTTTCAATATAATAGTTGTGATTGTGTTAAGAAGTTAGTTAGTGTTAGTTGGGTAGTTAGCCAGCTGTCCAATTATGTAGGGACAGCTGTAAGTTAAGTTAGTTAGAGTATGTATATAACCGTGTGTTGCTCTTCACTTGTGAGGTATCAGAAATTAATGGAACAGTAAAATTTCCATTTCTGTCTTTTGCTTCTTCTGAGAACTTCTCTGCAACCATGGAGGTTCTCCTCCCTTAACATGGTATCAGAGCCGGTGAAGACGATCAACTCACGCAGATTGCTCGAAATCGATTTGAGTTTCAAGAACTGGTCAGTCATCTATGTAATTGCTTCAATTCATCTCTTCTTAGGTTGAATCGTCTTTGAGCAATTAGGCATTTTTTTTTCTCTCTGTGTGTTCTACTCTAAGCTCTCGATTTTCAATCTTCAATGGCGATCGGAGGTATTGTTACTAGCTCAGACATAGGAATTGACGACACTACCACCGATGCAATTCCACTGGCAGATCCAAGTCGTGTGGGTGGTATAGTGGTTGATCAACATCATCCTCTATTTTTTCAACCTTCTGATACTCCAGGTAGCTCTCTAATCTCAATCAAACTAATTGGACATGAAAATTATGCTCTGTGGAGCAGCTCTATGCGTATCAGTCTATTAGGCAAGAGCAAATTAGGTTTTGTTGATGATAGATACACTAAGGATAAATTTCCTCCTACTTTACACGAATTGTAGGAAAAGTGTAATGACATAGTTTTGTCATGGATCATGAACTTAGTTAGTAATGAGCTGCTAGTGGCATGATGTATGCAACTAGGGCACAGAAGGTGTGGGCTGATCTTTGAGAAAGCTTTGACAAGGTGAGTGGATCTAGAATTTTGTTTCTATACAGACAAATTGCTACCTTGTCTCAGGGTATTTTCTCTGTGTTAGTGTATTTTTCTAAGCTGAAAGAGCTTTGGGCAGAGTTTGATGCACTGATGCCTTTGCCTGAATGTGGCTATGAGGAATCAAAGAGATATGCAGAACACTTTGGTAATCACAGGATGCTGCTATTTCTGAAGGGTCTAAATGAGACTTATTCTCAATCTAGTAATCAGATTATGATGATGAGTCGTACTCCAACTATAAACAAAGCCTATTCTATGATAATAGCAAAAGAAAGTAGAAGATCTGTAGTTAATTTTGCTCAAACCTCTGCAGTAAATGAGGGAATAGCTATGTTAAGTGGAAAAGGAACCTCTCAAGGTTCAAGTAGCTACAAGCCTAAAAGGAACAATCTGTTCTGTGACTTCTGCAAATACAAAGGTCACACAAGGGACATTTGCTACAAGTTTCATGGCTATCCTGTAGACTTGAAGCAAAAAGGAAAGACTGGACCTAACAATGTTGCTCAATACACAGGGCCTCAAACCAACAATGGTCCAAATAATGGAAGCTTTGAGGCTGCAGCTAATTGTGCAGGACTTCAGCAGACTAATCTTGCTTCAACTAGTCAGGGTGGTCAAGGAGTGATTGCAGGAGTGCCTCAGTTTATAGTTGATCAGTACAATCAGATTTTGCATCTTTTGGGCAAGTCTAGCATCACATCCTCAAGTCAAGGTGATCAACCAAGTAATGCCATGTCAGCAGGTATGACTTCACCTTCTGTAGTTACTAAAGCTGAGATTAGGTGGATAGTTGATACAGGTGCTTCCAATCACATGGTAATAAGCCTTAAAGTCTTAGAAGAATCTAGAAATGTTGATGAATCTAGTATTGGAAAAGTTCATCTACCTACAGGAAAGATAGCAAGTGTAAAGCATACAGGGTCTACAAGTGTGCTACAAGGACAGAAAATTACAAATGTGTAACACATACCAGACTTCAAATATAATCTCCTGTCTGTTTCAAAATTAACAAAGAGATTTAGATGTTTGGCTTTGTTCTATCCTGACTTCTTCCTTTCCTAGGATCTCTTTAATGGGAGAGTGAGGGAGATTGGTAAGGAGGATGAAGGCCTTTACATCTGCATATCAGGTAACAAGGATCAAGAAAATGGAGGAGGAAATAACAAATCAGACTCTGGAAGATCCTTTTTAAATACAATAAAGGATGATAGTTCAAGTGTATCTCTGTGGCATAGGAGGTTAGGCCATGTGCCAATTGATGTTATGAGAAAGTTAAACTGTTTTCAACATTTAAAGTGTAATAGTGAGACTAAGCAATGTACACTCGGTCCTATTGCTAAGCAAACAAGGCTTCCATTTCCTCTTAGTACTTCTGTGGCTACTGCATGTTTTCACTTGCTTCATGCTAATATTTTGGGGCCTATAGGGTACCTAATCATGATGGGAAAAAGTATTTTCTCACACTAGTGGATGATCATTCCAGGTTTACATGAGTTTTCTTGTTGCCCTCTAAAGCTGAAGTAATTGTTGTCATCAGACAATTCTTCATTATGATTAAGAATGTTCATTCTTGTACTGTAAAATTCCTAAGAACAGATAATGGGTCTGAGTTTTTTAACTCATAAATGACAGAATTACTGCAGTCTTTGGGTATTGTTCATCACAATTCTTGTGTCTATACTCCACAGCAAAATGGAGTAGCTGAAAGAAGGCACAGACACATATCCAATGTGGCCGGGGCACTGAGATTTCAAGTAGGTGTTCCACTAAGATTCTTGGGGAATGTGTATCAACTGCAGTCTACATTATCAACAGACTACCAACACAAGTGCTGCAGAGAAAAACTCCATTTGAACTACTGTTTGGTCATCCTCCTTCCTTAGACCACATGAGAATATTTAGTTGTCTAGGATATGTAATTGAAGTAAAAAGAGGTGACGAATTCTCACCTAGAGCCTCACCTGCAGTTTTTTTTGGTTATTATATAACTCAAAAGGGATACAGAATGTACAACATTCACACTAAGGAGTTCTTAGTAAGTAGAGATGTTATGTTCAAAGAAAATGTATTTCCCTTTCAACATTCAGCTCCTCTACCCTCCTTGTTTCCTACCATTGACATACCTCGAGTCTTAATGCCTAACGATATCTCTATATCCTCTTTTCCACCCTCATCAATCTCCTCATCTCTTCCTACACCATCTCCTTTATCTTCTCCTATTTCTACTTCACCTGCTCATCATAATCTAGATCAACCAACTCAAGTAGCTGTTGAACTTGAACCAGCATCACCAACTAATCCTGCTCATGATCAGCCTACTCATCACCTGTCTGCCTCCAATAATCAATTGATAGAAGTCTCACCTCCAAGAAGATCTGGGAGGACCAGTAAACCTCCTATCTGGCTAAAAGATTATGTTACTCATTCTCAAGGCAAAGTTAATTACTCATATCCTCTTTCAGCATATGTTAGTTATGAGAATGTCTCTAACTCCTATGCCAAAGCTTTAACCTCCTACTCTGCAAGTGTAGAACCATAGTCATATGCTGAGGCTATCAAGGATCCTAAATGGATTGAAGCTATGAAGGCTGGAATCTCAGCCTTAGAGGAAAATCATACATGGTCTATAGTGGAGTTGTCTGCTGGTAAGGTTCCCATTGGATGTAAATGAGTGTTCAAAGTGAAGTATACATCCTCAGGTGAAGTTGAAAGATACAAAGCTAGGTTGGTGGCTAAAGGTTACAGTTAAAAGGAAGGGCTTGACTAAACAGAAACTTTCTCACTTGTAGCAAAAGGTGACTATAAGGTCAGTCATTGCAGTTGTTGCAGCCACGCATTGTCCTCTTTTCCAAATGGATGTTCACAATGCCTTCTTGCATGGTGAACTTCTAGAAGAAGTATACATGGATGTGCCTCAAGGGTTTGCAAGCTGGGGAGGGTCTCACAAGGTTTGCAAACTTCATAGGTCTCTATATGGCCTGAAGCAGGCACCCAGGCAATGGAACAGGAAACTGACTTATGCCTTAGTGCAGTTGGGCTTCATTCAAAGTCATTTTGACTACTCTCTTTTCACAAAGAAGGTTCAAGCTGAACTGGTTGTTGTGTTAGTCTATGTAGATGATCTGATAATAAGTGGAAGCAGTTTAGATCTGATAACTCAGACTTGAAATGATCTGAAACTTAGGTTCAAAATGAAGGATCTAGGAAAACTTAAGTTTTTTTCTGGGAATAGAAGTTGCAAGATCAAAAATGGAATTGTTATGAGCCAAAGGAATATGCTTTGGAGCTGATATCTGAGATGGGACTTGCAGGTGCTAAACCTGCAGGAACACCTCTAGAGACAAATCTGAAGCTTACATCTGTGGAGTATGATACTGTTGTAGGAGTCTCTTAGTGTGAAGACAAGCTGATTTGAAGATGTAGGTGCATATCAAAGACTAGCGGCTAGGCTATTATATCTTACAATGACCAGAGTTGATATAGCATTTGCAGTACAAACACTAAGTCAACTTATGCACAAGCCTAAGCAGTCTCACTGGGAAGCTGCTCTGAGAGTTGTGAAATATGTCAAAACTTCTCTAGGTCTTGGTCTACTAATGCCTTTAGAAGGTTCAGATAAACTGAAAGCATATTGCGATTCAGACTGGGGAGGATGCTTATAGGCCAGGAAATTAGTAACAGGCTACCTAGTTAAGTTTTGGAATGCATTGATCTCGTGGAAGTCTAAGAAACAAGACAAAGTTGCAAGGAGCTCTGATGAAGGTGAATTCAGAAGTATGGCATCTACAGTTGCTGAGATAACTTGGCTCACATGACTTTTCAAAGAGCTAGAGGTTGATGTGAGTCTACTAGTTGACCTCTTTTGTGACAGCAAGGCTGCAACCCAAATTGCAGCTAATCCTATCTTTCACGAAAGGACCAAACTCATAGACATTGACTGTCATTTTGTACGAGAGATAATCATACAAGGTGCAGTGAAAACTCATCACATTCCCACAAAAGAGCTGCAAGCTGACCTCCTTACCAAGAGCTTAGGAAGACTGCAACACGATCACTTAATGTCCAAGCTGGGATTAAAGGATATCTTCAAACCATCAGCTTGAGGGAGGGTGTTAAAAAGTTAATTAGTGTTAGTTGGGTAGTTAGCCAACTGACACTAACTAACTTCTTAACAGAATGCATCTTACATCACTTGGGTACAGGTTCTGCTTTCACTAAAGGTCACCCCCTCAGTCAATATTTCCTCAATTCCTCCCTTAGTAATAATATTGTACTCCCCCTGTCTCATATTATGTGTCGTGTTTCTTTTTTACAAGCCCCTTAAGAAATAATAATTAGGAAATGGATTGAACTATTCTACTCTTATTTATGTCTTAAGATATAATCACTCTTCATTAATTCTGTCTATACTATTTACACATCCTTACTATTTACGGACCCCTTCTTTGTCAAAAGATTTTGAAAAGAGAAAATAAATACAGCTAAAATAAACAAAACGCGAGAGAGTGGAGATATTTTGATGTCCAAAAAGGCGGTATATGTTGACCTCTACCTTCCCTGACTCCCATAATTCAGCTGCCTTTGGTCAAAATATTCTAAGAATCCACATAATGCGAGAGAGTGGTACTATTTTAAACAAGAAAGATCGCTGTCACAATTTCCCAAAATCTCCCATTTCCTTTCTATTAATAGTCTCCATCATATCACCAATATTGAATTACCATATACTCTATCCAAAATGGCCACCAAACATCAATTTCTTTCTTCTGTCTTATTCCTAGCTCTTGTCCAAACCTCAATTGCTGGTGGCATATCCATTTACTGGGGCCAAAACGGAAACGAAGCAACCTTAAACGAAACCTGTGCCTCAGGCAGATATTCCTATGTCAACTTAGCCTTCCTTAACAAATTCGGAAATGGCCAAACCCCAGAAATCAATCTTGCCGGCCACTGCAATCCCGCTGTCAACGGATGCACAATCATTGGCCCACAAATCAAACACTGTCAAAAATTAGGTGTCAAAGTAATGTTGTCTATTGGTGGTGGCGTTGGAAATTACTCTTTAGCTTCCAAAAAAGACGCCAAAATTGTTGCACGTTATTTATGGAAAACATTTTTGGGAGGACGTTCCTCTTTTAGGCCTTTAGGAAATGCTATTCTTGACGGAATTGACTTTGATATTGAGCTTGGATCATCTCTTTTTTATGAAGATTTAGCTAAATACTTGAAAGTTTATGGTAGAATTGGAAGAAAAGTGTACTTAACTGCAGCTCCACAATGCCCATTTCCAGATAGATTGCTTGGTACTGCTTTAAATACAGGGCTTTTTGACTTTGTTTGGATTCAATTTTACAATAATCCTCCTTGTCAGTATACTCCTAATAATACTGATAATCTAAAAAATTCTTGGATACGGTGGACGTCGTCGGTGAAGGCTAGAAGGATATTTTTAGGGCTTCCGGCGGCACCACAAGCTGCCGGAAGTGGGTTCATTCCGACGGATGTGTTGACCGGCGAGATTCTTCCGGTGATTAAAAAGTCGCGCAAGTATGGTGGTGTTATGTTGTGGTCAAAATTTTGGGATGAGCAAACTGGATATAGTGCTTCAATTCTGAAAAGTGTGTGAAAATTGTTTGTGGGTAATTTAGAAATAATTAAAGCCGAAAGGCTATGAATTAAGCATTTGTCGATGAAAAACCATTTGGATTTTTCTACCTTTCTGAAATCATGGTGTCTGTATTCATATTGTACTGTTTACTCTACTGTTTAAAATGCAATTCAAATAAAAGTAGTAAGACTACAAAAAAAATGTCTACATAATGTGGAAATTTTGCTTCTTCCATGAAAAAGCTTATCTATAAAACCTCCATGAAATTTAGGCTTCTAAGAGGTTTGTTAACTTAAAAATAATTTTAATTATACGTTGAATTGACAAATAACTTAAATTGAATTTTTAGACTTGATTATTTGGCCTTGACATAAAAGAACTAATTTATTTATTGTTCATTCAAATTCTTTATATTAGCTCATCCCAAGTTTTAAATATTTAATAGTAACATGATAAATGTGGTGCTTCTGCTTTCTTGAGCCGAGGGTCTATTGGAAACAGTCTCTCTATCCTCACAAGATAGGTGTAAGGTGTGACCCCATGGTGTGGGATAATACTGGGTATGTTGTTGTTTGTTGTAACATGAGAGTGATTACAATAATGTTAAATTGTTCAACTAAGAAAATAATTATATAAGATAATTAAAATTCAATTTACTTAAAGCACTGAATGCTAAAATTTTCTACATAGTTCAAATAAAAATTATTTATAAAAATAATATATTAAAACTTGTAATTTAGTTATAAAATTAAAAAGAAAGAAAAAAGTATAATTAAGTTCCTTAAATGATCATTATTGATCCTATTTAGCTATTCAATAGAGGAAGAAACTCTATCACATAAGTGATCAATCTGCTTCATCAGTATATAACTTAAACTTGATTCCAGTATTACTTCAATTTCGCAAGTTATCATACTTTTTTTAAAATTTAAGCAAGAACACATAAACCCTTGAACTTCTATAGAGTATTATTATTGGACTGACCAAGATCAAAGTGAACTCATGTATGGAGAGTAAGAGATTACAAACTCAATTGGGATGGGGTATGCATTTCACGTTATTGGACTACTGATAAGACATCAACAAAGAAATCAATATCAATTATATGGGCTTCCAACAGGCCCGTATCTATGGGGGATTTGCATCTATACCCAATTTTTTGGGTCACAATTTAACTTATACCCGCTTTGCAAAAACAATTGCAAGCGTACCCACTTTTCGGGTAACTTCAGACATACGGGGCATGAAGTAGCAAGAATTTATATTTGAAGTTTGAACTTCAGAATTTTTTGCCTAAAGTGTGACCTTATCAAAGTAAAACTGCAGATATTTTCGTCTGAAGTTTGGCCTGACTCGCAAAAGCAATCAAAAACTTCAGTTCGTAGTGCAAACTTCAGACAAATTAGTCTTCTTCAATTTGTAGTGCAAACTTCAGACAAATTAATCTGAAGTTCTTTAGTTTGTAGTGCAAACTTCAGACAAAATCAGCTTGTTATATTTGAACTTCAGATAATTTTCCTGGCATGATAGTTGCAAACTTCAGACAAAATTTAACCTGGTAATGTCTGAAGTTTGGCCCTGCAGCAACTTCAGTTGATGCTTCTTCGAGTTTTGGCAATAACCTCTTGTTTTATTATTTACGTACTTTGTGTTGGGATGTATTAATGTTTGAGAGGCAGTGGCAAGTCTTTCTTTCTTTTTGATTTGTCGCTTTGTCCAATTTCCAGAAACTATAACATGTGTAGTTTACAGGATAACATGTTTGAGAGAGAAGAAGAAGAAGAAGAAGAGGAAAAGAAGAGGAGGAAGAAAGGAGCGCATAGGTCGCAGGATCTGAAGTTGTCAAAATTAGGGTATAGGTTAAAAAATTTTAAAAATATGGGTATAGGTTAAATGGGGGCGACCAAATAGGGCGCCCCATGCAATTTTTACGTATCTATTGAGTTGGCATAGCCAGTTGGTTTTAGGCCCATATGACCTTACAGCTTGAGATTCATGGACTCCATTTGCTTTCCAAAAAAAAAAAGGATTTTTACATACCTATACACTATTGGAAACNAGCTTCCGAAAGCTCTCCTCGCACTCGTTCGACCATACAAATGGTGCACCCTTCTGCGCCAACTTGGTCAAGGGCGATGCAATAGATGAAAAACCCTGGACGAACCGGCGATAATAACCCGCCAAACCGAGGAAACTCTGAATCTCTGTGGCTGAGGACGGTCTAGGCCAACTCTGTACCGCCTCTATCTTCTTTGGATCAACCTGAATACCATCTCTGGACACCACGTGCCCCAGGAAAGCCACAGAACCAAGCCAGAACTCACACTATCTATAAGTTAGGAATTGTTCAAGCTTGTCTTCTTGGTGATAGTGAACAACTGTAGCTAAACCTTAGTTCTCTGTGGGATTCGACTCCGGACTTGTAAACCGGATTATATTTGCAGCGACCGCATTATCCTTTTTATAAGGCATAGTTGGGCGTGATCACTGGCCCGTACATAAATTAGTATATTGAACTAATCATATATTATATTGATGGAAGAAAAAAACTAAATCATAGTTGAAGAGATCTATAGGGTGTTTGGTTTGACTTTTAAGCTGGTCAAATCAGCTTGTAAGCTCTTTTTAGCTTTATTTAGTGTTTGGCAAAGTTAAAATTTTTAAAATAAGTTAAAACTGCTTAAAACAAGCCAAAAGCAATAAGTTGGGCGCTTAAAAGTTATTTCTGCTGAAAAGTCACTTTTTTTAAGCCAATCCAAACGGGCTCCTAGTTTAAATTGCTTCATAATTTAATTTTTAAAAATTGTGAAATTGTGCTTAAAGACTATGGTGTCAGAAGTAGAAAATGGTGAATTCTATTATCATGTCAAGGTCGGAAATTTTACCATGTCAAGGTGGACGATATGCTTTAAACCTTTTTAGTTGGATATAAATTTTAAGAAACTTTTGTGGTTTATTGTTATAATGCTTTTACATTAAATATACATTTTTGTGGGGTTTTTCTGTTTTTAGATTTCTTACAGAATTCAAATTAAAGAAATTTAATAACTAAAGTTTAGTTGATTTTTAAATTCCTAAAAATTAGTCAAAAGGAATTCTCACTGATGTCACTTCAACAAAACAGCAGAAGATTAGTGAATCCCAGTTGTATTATCTCATCTTTGCACACTTTAGGTGGTGATGAAACTCTTTATTTTCTTTCAATTAGCAAATCCCATTTGTATTATATTTATCTTTGCACACTTTAGGTGGTGATGAAACACTTTATTTTTCTTTAACCCTTCAACATGTGAAAAATTCCATGGCTAAATAAATATCAAAGGAATAGGGGATCCCTTGCCTCAACTCTGAGAATGAAACTGTCGGCTAGCTATTAGTTAGACATAATAAACATATATAATAGCAAGAAACATATATTTTCTCGTACCAGATCCAACCTAATTAAATACACTAACAAATATTTCAAGGATCCATTTCATTTCCTGGGAATCAACTCTCCTTTTTCTTGTTCAAAAAAGAATCCTCATCATTTACCAAAGGAATTTTTACCTCATGTAGCAATGGGTGATACCTTATTTATTTTAAATAAATACCCTTTTATAAATTATATTCCATAGCTACCTTTTGATTTTTATAGCCAAATATCTATTTATGGTTACCTCCTACCCTTAAGCCATAAAATACATTTTGTATTATTTTTCTCTCTCATTCTTTCAGATTTTTCTACATACACTCTCTCTCTCTCTCTCTCTCTCAACGCCAGTCTTTCTCCATGAATAGAACCACGATTCTCCCCTGATTCATCTCCATTGTCTCGAGAAATTTTCATTGTCAATGGGCTGGGGCTCTGAATCAATATCGAAATCAAGCCCTGGAGAGAAAGATGGAGGTTTGAAATCTGTTATTGAAAGGTAAATGGGGGCTGAACGAAAATGGCGGCTATGCTAAATAAATCCTCTTTCATTGGTGAAAGAAATTAAAACCCGTAAAAAGAAAAAGATTAAACTCTCCCCTCTTTTTTACTAGTAGGAAAGTTGCCTTCTATTTCTCCACTTTCTCTCCATTAATGTCAATCCTCTTTCGTATCAATGTCGAAATCTGACATAGGGTAAATTGGGGCTGACAATGGAAGTTCGAAATCTGCTATCGACGAGACGACATTAGGATTATTCTTGAACAAAGACGACGGAGTTGGGGCTGAGCAACTTGAAGAGTCTGTTAGCTTTTTTTTCATTGTATTTCAATGTATCTCGCCTGTATTCTATGTATTTCATTGCATTCATTATCTTTTTTTTTTCATTGTATTTCAATATATCTCGTTGTATTCCATATATTTCATTGTATTCATTGTCTCTCTATATTCCATGAATGTATTCATATGTTTTTTTTAATTAATATAAATTTTATGCATTCAGATGTATTTATGTATTCATATTTATAATTGAGTTTGTTGAGTTATATTAGGAGTCTATTTGTATTAATTGATTCACTTTTTGTTTAAAAACAGCTGAATAGACCATGATTTACGCTATTTACGTTACTGTATTCACAAATACATATCTTGAATACATTCGAAATACAATAATTGTCTAGTTGTACTCCCCTGTTTCACGCCGAGTTTTGCTACTGTATTCATGAATACAATAGCTTAAATACATCGAATACACTCTAGCAAAACTGAAAACATAGCTATAGAAAGTAATATAGTAAATGGTTGCTACAAGTACTTAATAAACCACTAAACAATAGTGGTTTGTAAAAATTTCTCTTTACCAAACTATCCCATAGTATGGACCAAACTAACCTCATCATCGACGTCAATACAAGCTCTCTCTCTTTATTTGGTGATTTAATTAATATATCTCATTATAAATATTTTACGATTATTTATCTATATAAATAATACTATTTAACCTAAAAATCGGATAACAATTAAATTTATAATATGGTTTCAAGGATACGTAATTTCACCTAATACCAATTGATAAACGTAAATATAACTGATAGAAATTGAAAATAATATAAAGCAAACCAATGTTTGGACAGAGCCCTCGAGCTTGAATACCCTCGAGCTAGTTATGCTAGAACAATTAAAATGCAACAAGCTGACAAACAAG